CCGGGAACCGCCCGGTTCTAGAGTGGAACCGCCGGTTCCCATCCGGTTCAGCCCGGTTCTAGAGTGGAACCGCCGGTTTCTATCCGATTCTGCCCGGTTCACACACGTAACATATGACACGCATGTGCGAGCGTGCCCCACGCACACTCACACGAGCACACGTGTGTCTGAGCGCACGTGCGAGCGTGCCCTACACATGCTCACACGCGTACACACGTGTGTCCGAGCGCACGTGCAAATGTGCCTCACGCACACTCACACCTGCACACGTGTGTCTGAGCGCACGTGCGAGCATGCCCCACACACACTCACATGCACACACGTGTGTCCAAACGCACATGCGAGGTTGCCTTAATATTTTTATACACATTTTATAATTCATATTGCTTAGGTATTTATATACCAAATTTGAATACCCATCTTTCGATGTAGGATAATTCCCAAACAACATTAAATGAAAACGAAATGTAAATATAGTCTATTAATCAGCAATTTATAATCACATGTAGTTAGATGGCTTGATGGTTATGATTTTGAATTTTTTACTTATTTGAGGTCCCAAGGTCGAATTCCCTTGGGCAACCCCTTGGGATGTGTTGCATTTGAGTCCCAAGGTCGAATCCCCTTGGGCATGTGTTGCATTTGAGTCCCAAGGTCGAATCCCCTTGGGCATGTGTTGCATTTGAGTCCCAAGGTCGAATCCCCTTGGGCATACCCCTGGGCATGTGTTGCATTTGAATCCCCTTGGGCATGTGTTGCATTTGAATCCCCTTGGGCATGTGTTGTATTTTTGTTGTGTATATAGTGGTCGGTATAAATATTTTTGTTGTTTTCGAATCCCCTTGGGCATGTATTGCTTTTTTGTTGTATATATAGTGGTTGGTATAAATATAAATATTTTTGTTGTGTATATAGTGGTTGGTATAAATATAAATATTTTTGTAAATAATATAAAAGACATAAAAAAATGAAAAATAAAAAAAATAATTTTTTATATAACCGTTAATTTTTGTTGTATATAGTGGTATAATTATTTTTGTAAATAATATGAAAGGTATAAAAAAAACAAAAATAAAAAGTTTATTCTATTTGAAATCTGTATCTTTCTACTAACAATCTCTTTTACTAAATTTATTATAGAAACCTAAAAAAAATAAATTTTTGAAAAATTGAAGTGTTATTTCCAAAATTTGTACGCATTTTATTAATTTTTACATTGATAACCAAATCTTTTATTTTATTTATGAATTTTTACATTATAATCATGTAATGTACTATTTTTCTTACAGTTGTCAATATTACATTTTAAATTAGATAATATTATAAAATATTTTTAATTTGTTATTATTTGTCTAATAAAATAATTATAAAATGTAAACTAATAATTATAATTTCAATATATAATATTATAATTAGTGAGGTTGTAATAATTTTGGATTATAGTTAGTGAGGCTGTAATAGTTTGGGTTTTTTTAGCAGGTTAGGGTTTTTCACAAAAACAGGATTTTAATGGCCATTCTTTCATTGATTAGTCTACTCTTTATAATTGTCCATATATACTTATATATTTTAACCATGATAATTCTATGATTTTTTTTTTAATGTGATGCAAATTTAATAGTTAAAATAAATTTATACAGGGAAAGAACATCTCAATATTCACAAATTGTTAAAAAAAAAATGAAAGTTAATAATGTAGTACCCTCATTTTTTATTGGATTTCTAAAAAAAAATATTTATAATGAATTTTAATAATTTTTACGGATTTTTTTGAAGCTTTAATCCGACTGATTCAGCCGATTCCCGATCCGGATCGCCAATTCGCCGATCCGGATCGATTTTTGAAGTGCTCGATCCGGGTCACCGATCCGTTTTTTAAACCATTGGTTTTATCATTTTCAATCAAATAAAATTTTATGTGGCATAGCCCAATTTTTACAATTACATAAAAGGGCCGTAACCCAATCCTGGCCTGGTCTACGCAGGGTCCCAAGAAGGGTGAGCTAAAAACTATAGACCATTGGCTTTTTATGCACAAAGTGGCCCGTGCTTTTGTACTGGCTACCCGAGCCTTTTTACTATCACACCAAGTGGCGGCCCCTAAATCTTACACTTCACTTCCAGCATTCGATTTTGTTAGGGGAGAGACGAGTACAGTGACCTACAGAAGTAGTATACAATGAAGCAATCACATCCACTGCTAAACTAAAGGAGAAAGAGAGAGAGAGAGAGAGAGGAGGGAGGGGGGGGTAATTGGTTTAGTACTTAGCCTGGAAGGGCTTTGAATGCTTAAGGCTTTTGGTTATGTCCACCAATGAGCCTATGCCAGCTATGACAGAGACAATGAGAGAGGCCCCCACCAAGCATTGGAGGAGGAACCACTTCATACTGCCCCTCGTTACATTAGCTTGAACAATGTGCATAGAAACTGGGAAATATATAGTGAGAGGCCAGAAGGCCATGGCACCAAGGAGGCCTACAACTGAGTTGAACAAGGGCACCAGAATAGCCACTAAGGTTGTCATCACCACAATGGTTGTGCGCATGATCAAAGAGAAAAGGGTCACTCTCCATGAGGTTTGGGTTGAACAAGGTAATTTTACTTCATAGCGAGCTTGTAATAAGAAATTTGATGGCCACTTTGAGGAGACTCGGTCCTCGATGGCCGCAAAGATCGGCTGGGCGAACACCTGCCACGTGTCAAACCAACAAATTGAAGTAAGGAAAAGTATTTGGTGAGTCAGTGGACTCAAGCCTAGCCTCCTCATATTTTTGAACTCGAAACACATCCTAATTCGCTATAAGTCTAGTGCAGTTCTGATGGTATTTGAAGAACTAAAATGAACGATCCCGAAATAAAAGCACAAAATAGACCATTTTTAAGGCTCAAACTTCTTTTTCGTGTCGTTTACATATTCGTGATCGTGGTGATCTAGATGATAGACCTGCAAAATTTTATATCCAAATCCCTGTAACCTGAATAGGGTAGACTTCCATTGGAGTTTTGAATGGGAATGCCGCCACTCAACAACCTTCACATCAGTTACATATTTTTACACAATCTTTTTCTTGTTTTTAAGTTAAATAAGTTGAATCTGAACGGAAGATTTGAAGATCGCCGCAAAAAATGCATTCAATTGAGTTATTCGATTGAAACAACAAATGTTATCATAATCTATTTGACTTGAAACCAAGACCTGAGTCACATGGTACCCAGCAAATACCTGGTAGGCCCCTAGGAGGTGAACCACAACGCATATGTTCCCAATGTCGACAAGCCAAAATGGTTCATAGAATCCAAATCCAGTGAGGATGTTGCCTGGTGTTTTACTCCCAAATGCTGCATACCCAACACAACCAAGAGACATGTAGAACACGGAAGTAACGACAATCCCATACAATGTAGCTCTCTTCATGACTTTGTTCTCTGGAGGATGTGATCTCAAAGTGTCCTGTGGTTTGTTGAGCAAAAGGTTAGAATAAATGAAACATTACCAAACACCGATTTCTTTTCGTACTTCAGTTACAGTTGTAGGGATGGAATTGTAGAAATTGTGGCATTCCACCAGACCACCTAGGTAGGGATAATTTTTAGAGGCTTTATACTATAAGACTGCTTCCCAAATAATTGGGATAAAGCTTGGATGATGACGATGATAGAAACTATAAGGTTGTTTCCCTTTTGTACAAAAAGGTTACAATCATTTGTAGTCATCAAATATCAAATCAGATGGGTGGGGATATGATATTTCTGAGCGTAAAACTTTAACAAAATTTTGGACAAAAAAGGTCACAATCATCTGTAGTCATTAAATATCAAATCAGATGGGTGGGATATGATATTTCTTAGCGTGGCTAATGGCACACCCGAACCACTTGATTTCGCATCTGATAGCTAGGGAACATTTGAGCATTTTGTACTAAAAGTAAATAGTGTTATTTTATACTTACCCTAAGGGGCCGTTTGGATACGTGGAAATATATTGTCTGTGAAATATATTATTAGCGTAATGCATTACCTGTAAATGGATTGTCACTGTTTGGATAGTATTTAGATGCAACCTGGGAAATACATTGTTATTGTTTAGTTATGTCTAGAAGAAATATAGGAAATACATTACCAACATCTTATAAACTATCATTTCTTTCTTTTTTCTCAACAAATTCCACTAAAATACAGAATTATCATTTCCTTCTTTTTTGTCACAAAATTTCACTAAAATACTAAATTAAAATCATCATCACACCATTCTAAAAATATTTCTAATAATAACATTATCACCATTCCAAAAAGATTTTCTAATAGTAACTTGTACCATTTTACAGTTATGACACTATTTTCTACTTATTTTAAGTGTCTTTGGCACTTATATGCAATCACATGTTTTCTAACATGACATTGGTTTCAACATCATAAGTCATTGGAATAATATGATTGGAATAGCATGATTTTATTATGATAAGCTTTATTTTTATTTATTTTGTATAGAAGTCTTTCAAATGTCTCTCTATATAATTTCAAATAAACAATAAATTTATTATACTAAATTCAAAATCTATAAGGTACGACTTAAAAGATGGGAAGAAGTTTGATTACTAAATTAGAAGGTTTGATAATTGCATTATAAAATTTTGAGGTATTGGAGGAGACTAAAGAGGTATGTTATTTCAATTGAGATTTTAGTAATCTCTTATGAGGATTATGTTGTGTGAAATTATTTATTATGATTGTGTTGTGTAATTTTATCATTGATTATTGATTTTTATTTTTATATGACACTGATGCTTTCAGATGAGGGGACGAGCTTAAAAAGAGAGGTATCACATTATGTTATGTGAAATTCTTTATTATGAGTGTGTTGTGTAATTTATCATTGATTACTGATTTTTATTTTTATTATTTTTATTTTTAATATGACAGCAATAATGTGACGAGCTTAAAAAAAAGAGGGATAACCTAGTTATTATGAAGAGGGATAGGATAGGTAAAAACGCACACAAAAATTTCCTAAAATTACATGTGACTCTCGTAATAGATTTTTCACCTATTACCGGGCGTAATGGCTTTCCTGAAAAAATCTCGTGTAATCTCTTTCCATTTCCTTACGATTAAGTGTACGCAAACAGTGGAAATGCCATATTTACGATTAAGTGTACCCAAACAGTGGAAATGCCATATTTACGATTAAGTGTACGTAAACAGTGGAAATGCCATATTTCTTTATAATCTATTGTCACGGGTACCCAATCAGCCCCTAAGTGTAATAATAGACTTTTACCCTTTTGGAGCATTCTTTGAATGGGTGATTTCAAAGAAGGTGAAATCTTTGCGGTTCTCAGTTTGTCTTCATGGTTAAATACAAATCTTACAGGATGAGATCACAAAAAAATGTTTGAATACAAATTTTATAGGATGAGATCACAAAAAAATGTGAGATAGATTACTGCATAAGTGAGCAGCAAACTCGCAGTAATGCCCATGTGCATACGCTTGTGTGCACATAGACAGAGAGGGAGATGGGATTGTGATTAAATACCTGAATTTCTGTTAGAACATGAGCGAAAACGTATGCGAAAGCAATATTTCCTAAAGCCTGGAAACTATTCCACACATTGCTCGCCAAAGAGGACTCTCTATTCCCTAGAGAATTTCCTCCAATGCTTCCTTTGATCACACCATTAGACACCAACTTTGCTGCACTTAGAGAGAGGCCTATCCCTGAATAACCAAACGACATGATCGCTGCCACCACCGAAGTCACTGCTAATTTGTGCATACTTGGTAGCTGGGACAATACTATTTGAAACAATCCATAGGTAACCATAAACACATTCTCAGATGTCTTGCAACTAGCATTATGCCCATTCTTATGAAAGCAATTTGACTTCTTCACTGCTCTGCATTTTATATAACAAATCTTATCATGGTGTTTTTATATTTCACACCTGATTAAAAAAAAAACATCATTTACCAGCAAGACAACGTATTTACACCAAAAATATAATCATGTATTAATAACTGGCAATGGAAACATTGATGTTTTTTAAAGAGTAAGAGGGTTCTTCATACTAACTCAGTTTGGGTATTCTTGTTTCATTGTTTAGCCAGAATTTATTTAAATTAACAAATAAATGAAAATTGATTGAGCTTTTTTTGTTTCTCCTGGTGATTTAGAGATAGGATTAAAATATGAAATATATTATCGTAATTGTTAACACCTTAAACTATCAAGCCCAAGCTAGAATCGAAGAAAGTAGGTCAGCTTGTTTGGATCTCTGACCCAAGCACCAAGGGTTTGAACTCTTGACCTCTTCACACAAACCAAAAATGTCTACCACTAAGCTGAAGACCAAGCAAATTTTTGGTATATGTGGTTTTGCCGTGGCAACTCTCTGGCCTCTGCATTGGCTGGCCCCAAGCCGATCATGCCAGTCTCACACCCAGGTAAAGGGGAGGGTTGAATAGGTAGGGACGTCGACATAAAACTTTGCCAAATCTTATCATGAATCTTGAACCTATGAGCAAAATTGTGGAATAAAATCTATGTGGCCGATTCGAAATAGTTGAGATTAGGTTTAGATAATAATGATGATGATGATTGTCATCATGTAATCATTCTAGTGCTTGTATCCTCCTTATTTATGATAATTTATCCATTTAGAAAACAAAAACATTAATGTCTCATACAATTCATATTGTTTCATGAGCGCATATACTATGCTCCCTAGGGGGGATACTGTGAATCTCCCCTTGGCTCAAAACGGAGAATTTTCTTAGTATAAAATTTTGGGAAACACATAGCAATTAGTAGATTATTATTTTTGAAAAAATTAATTTTAAGTTTTATAACACTTAGATCTAGCCCCTCAAAAATTGGACGGTCTCTATTCAATCTCGAGGCATAAGTTTTTTCCAGTAGATAAAGAGTTTATTTTGATTTTTTTTTTTTTTTGGTGGAGATTATTCTATGGATTGAAAAATTACATCTCAAAATTTGAGATCCAAAAAGTATCATAACATAGTATATGTTTCCATTTATTATACTGAAATTTTAGTATGAATATCTTCTTATTGTTGGGACAGTGATGCAAATCACCCCATCTTGCATTTTCTCTTTTGATAAAAGGTATTTTAGTCATAGAAAATAGCCTTTTTATGGAGGCCCATAAAAGGCATTTTTAGAAAGAGAAAAATAAGGAAAGAAGATAAAAGAAAAGAAAAATGTGGAGAAGCTTTGGGAGGTAGAAAGTTGGGTTTTTTGCCTAAACCCTAGGGCTCTTGTAATGGGCCTGATTTGATCAGGGTTTCCTTAAAGCTACAGTGTTAGTCGATAGAGACAAAGTGAGGATTTGTTTGATGGTGGGATTATAGTAGGAAATTTCTATTGAGCATTCTTTCTAGGTATGAGGTAATCTCTATAAAACCCTACGCTTGTATATTTCTTCTTTCGATAGTGAGTTCATCATTGCCCTCTTATACATGGGAACAACCCATCTTGGGTGAACCGTGTATATTTCTCTCTCTACTAATAGTTGTGTTGTGGTTTGATTAATTCTCATGTTAGTTGTTTCTTGATTTCATAATTTTTTCAAATATATTGCACATAGATTATTATTGTTGAGTATTTTATTTAAGTTGTTACATTCATTGTCGTGGGGTGCTCACCACATCAAGTAGGGATTTGTGTTATCCCGATTTGCCGATAATCAAGATAGCCTCGGTTGCAAACACTAATCTAACCTAAACTTCTTTTAGTGAACTTATTCTATGAAAGGGGAGGCTCAGAATACTTACATCATACTGGTGGCTGCTATGATTGTGTACCCAATCATTATACCCCAAAGAATCGCACATTGTGCGATTGAGCACATTACCAGACTTCTTGAACCTACAAATTGGAGAGAGAGAGATTAAACAGTGAGATACAATATTTAACAAAGTCCAATTTATACTTTTTACTTTTATAAAGGAATATATTTACACAGTAACATATTCTAAAAGATGCAGATCTTTTTAAAGTTGAGGGTACAGCATCTCTGGTGATTTAGAGTTGAAGTTACATGGCACAAGCTTTCAAACATAAAATGTAAATCAACTAAAACATGCAAAGTCATGTTGTTGGCAGTTCGGTCCTTGAAAGCCAAACTTTGAGAGGTTTCCTCAGTGTACCGGGATTCGACTCAGCCGAGTCTAGCAAAGGACCAAAAAGTCCTTAAAAAATACAAAAAAAAAATTAAAGGATATTGAAAAATAAAAAATATGTATTAAAAGTAAATTAAAATCTAAAACACTATTGAAAAGTTAAAACGAAGTTAAAAAAGTACGGAAAACATGGACATAAAAAACCATATTTACTATTTGAGATGTTTTTTTAAAACTCCAAAATTGCCAAATACATCTAAAACATGTAAGATAAAATTGTATAGCATAAGTTCATTTTTTTTAGATGTTTTGATTTTTTGACAATTGTTTTAAACACCCCGAGTTCTCACGCAATTCGAGGGTACTCAGCCTCGCGTGACCGAGTAATTGGGCCGAGTCCCAGGACACTTTTCTTGACCAATTGGTTTTGAACAATTGGACTAATAAAACAAGATTAGACAATTTTTTTTATAATATACTTCATATCTTTAAATAGTACTTCTGTATTGTTATTTTTCTAGAGTCCAATCTAAACGATGTGACCAAGGGTCAGATCAATTTTAGCGAGACCGGACTTCTAACCGGTTTGGCAGAAAGACTAGTTTTTTTTACAGTGACAAAATTGTCTTACTTAACCACATTAACAATTTCATGATACTTTGAATAATAGTACATAATCTGCTTGTGTTTTATGATGGTAATGATCAATTGATGATCAGAATAGCTCTAATTTGGAGGATAATTGATAGCAGTTAAGAAAAGAAGGTGGAAATAAAGAGGGCACTTGCCTAGAAAGGCTCTAACAGCTTCCCTGTAAGTGTAGTTTCTCTTGCCTGTGACTGGGTCAGGGTACCTATAGCAGTCTGCTTGAAGAGTTGATGTGTAATAAGTCACAAAACCAAAGCCAACAAGGAAAAGGGGGCCAACAATCCAACCAAGTTGAGAAACACTCCAGGCCAACCCCAGGACCCCAGTCCCAATTATTGCTGTAATCACATGGGCTGCTGCCGTCCATACTGTTCCTGTATTCAAATGCAAATGATGAGACAGAGAGATGATCAGTTGCAATTACAAGGGCTGGTAGTTGCCATAGCTATAAGCATTGTATGTAGGTATCATATTTAGAATGATGTAGTGCCCTTTTAAGTGACTTATGTTTTTAACTGAGAAAAACCATTACGATTTGAAACACGACGACTTTCTGGGGGCGTACACAAGCCGGCGGGATCTAAGAGGGCGATTCACCTGGGTTATCCGATCCCTTCACCTTGAGGTATGCATTACCTCACTTTTATTTTTTTTTTAGGAAAAGTAAGGCTCTAGCAATGGATTGTTGGAAAAAAGCTTGGTTTTGGTTAAAGGTATTTTGGGTATTATATTCAAAAGTAAAAGATATTTTGAAAATATTATTGTTAAGGGCAATTTTAAATGGTTGTACTACAAATTTTGTAGAGTTCCAAGGTCACAGTTCCAAGAGTGAGAGAGCGGAATCCAAAGCATATCATGCAAGCAAATTTGAATTTAGAATGTGTGAAATCTAGAATTTTTTTGCATACTCTTGTAAATTTGTCCAAGCAAATAGGGTGTATGTTAAAAGAGGAAGAACTTTACTAAGTAGGTGTAAAAAGAGTCTAAAAAGATACTAAGAAATTTATACATGTATTTACTATGTATTTGGGTGTTTTGTCATTCATGCCCTCTCGTGTCGGTCAAAATTTTGGGCCTAGCCAACAAAGTGTAGTTAGAGGGTCTAGTTCGGGCTGATCCACCATTGCTTAATGGGGACTGGCTAGAGGGCCAGATTTGTAGTTGGCCAGGGCCATGATTGGTAAGCTTGGCCTTGCCCAATAGGTTGTTTTTCTTTTAATTTTTCTTCTTTTATTTTTTCGTTTAAGGATTTAGATAGTGCTCGGTTTGGCGAAACCAAAACCGGACCAACGCTATACCCAAGCTGAGTTTGGTCCAAGGTTGGTCTGGCCCACTCCGAGCCCAAAAGCAAAAGAGATGAGAGATTGATATCTCAAACGCGATGGAACATCATTGGGAAATGTAAACAAAATAAAATGAGAGAGATGAAGGGAGATGACAAATTATTTTTGCCGCTGTTCGGGAAATCGGCTTGAGCTCAGGCTCCGGACCTACCTGAACCGAGTAATTCAAGCCACCCGAGAGGACCGGCCAACACTAAAGGGGCAAACGAGAAAAGGCCCCTAGAAAATAAAAAAAAAAGGTTAAAAATAAAATGGTAGTAAGAATATAATAAATGTCCAAATAAGATAGAAAATATATAAAATTGAGATTTAGAAAAAATAGATTTATAGCCAGAGACATTTCCAAAAAATCAAACTACGCATATAACAAGAAATATCACAAATAATCATAAAAAAAATTAAAATTACATATAAAATATTTATACATTGATTTTATAACTTAAACATAGTTTTTATATTCATTTTTATTTTTATAAACTCCAATTTTACCCAACTACTTGGCTCGGCAAAGAGCAGAGTCCGAGTCAACTCGACCAAGTCCTAAGCTATGATTTGTCCAATTTTTATTTAATAAAAATAAAATGTTAACACAAAGAAGTAAAATAAAAATAAGGTTGTATACATTAAGGCCGTTTACATTTACTATAAGGTGGTCACAATTATTTACAACCATCCCATGTGAAATCTGATAGTTTGAAAAAATTTCTTTTGAAGTTTGAGCTTGGTGAATGGAATAAATATAACCATCTAATTTCACATCGAATGGTCAAGATGAAATGTGACCACGTTATACCAAAGATAAATAGTCTCATTGTATATTTTTCCAATAAAAATAGGACTCGGATGCTATGCAGCCAAGCCGCATGTATAGAAATGCGGGCCTATTAATAATTGTATTTTTTAGATGGATTTTTGGATTTAATTCTTAAGGACATGTAATCTCTAATACGGAGATCATGAATATAAAAGTAAATTTTAAAATAATTCTAGTAAAAAAATATTTGGATAGTTTTCATTGTTTTTAGATGGAACACCTACTTGCCTCCATCTTTAAGATGGATGCTTTACACTTTTTGGACCGCATGTGTAGTTATGTGACCCAACCCGCAAGAGATAATTTTCCATAAAACTTCTATACTTCTATGCTTCTCCTACAATATAAAACTTCTATACTTCTATGCTTCTCCTACAATATAATACTTCTATACTTCGCCTACAATATAAAACTTCTATACTTCCCCTACAATATAAAACTTCTATACTTCCCTTTATCCAACCGTCCATTCTGAATGAAGGACAAAGATTACCCCAATCACAATGTCACATCTCTACACTATTTTATTTTATTTTATTTTATTTTCTATAAACTATTTTGGCACCAAATTTTAGACTCCCAATCCTCTATTAAACTCGCACTAGCGAAAAAATATAAAAACAATATTTTTAATAAAATAAAATGATCAAAATACCCTTGAAAATTTCAAGGAGTATTTTGGTCATTATATTTTATCATAATTTTATTTTTAATATTTTTTATAGATGTGCCCCAATGAGAAGATCACACATACTAAATTTCATATTCATACGATTTGTATAAAACAAACTAAAAATAAAATACTTTAAGACGTCGGATCTAAAATTAAACGGTGAGTGGCTCTCTTGGTCAAAATTGAAAGGCTCGATGGTAGAGGAAGCATAGATCTTATATGCTGCAGGGGAAGTATACAAACCTTTCCCTTAATGTGGAAGAGAGTAGTCCATTTTGTCCTTACCAGTTCTGGCGCTTCCATCATCACTGTTTTCGGCATCATCTATCTTTCTTTGGACAGCATCCTTCATCTCCATGCCTATGCAACTGCTCCCTCTCAAAAGAAATCAAATCTCTTTCTAATAAGAAATACGAATGAAATTTTGGTTGAGTGGATCAAGACGCAGCTGAATTAATCACCTTCACACCCTGCTGAGGTACCTAGTACATGAAAAAATTTATAAATAAATATGTATTTTATTACTAAATCAATAATAAATAATGTGTGAATATATTTTTATAGAATAATTAAGTTCTCTATAAAGATAAAAAAATATTAACAGACCGGTTCCACCGTGCCCGTCCCTTACACAAGTTGCACACGTACGAAAGCACCACACAACGTCCTTCTCCCTCCCTGTAGGATGTACTTCCCAGGACTCTCTCCCTCTCATGACCTATGTTGGCCTGTCTTTCTTTTACATGCCTAATGGCCTCATTTTGTCTAGTGACATCTCCCCATACTTAGGGTCACACCTTAGGCCACTTCCGGCCACGACCCAATGCGAGGCCTCATGCTCCTCCCTCAGTCGGCCGCGTCGCATGGCTCCACAGCAAGCCCTTACACACTCTCTTTCTCACTAAAGATCACTAAAGATCTTCCCCTCAGTGTGTATAGGGCTTCGTACCAAGCTTTATACACACACGATTAACACTCTCACTACACTACTTTTTATAGCACATTGCCTCACACTCTTTTTCAACTTCTACCTACCCCTTATTTCTTTCCCCTCCTCTCTCTATACTCCCACACAAAGACTCATTACATCACAAACTCTCTCTACCTTAACACCCTCTCTTTCTTTATCCTTTCTCTCTTTCTCTATACCTTCTCACTCCCACACTCACTAACACACCTCTTTCGTCTACATCCCACCTTCACCACAGATCTCACAATACCTCCCCCCGTTCATAGCGGGGTGCACCGTGTGATGTGTAGATTTGTGGTGGGAAGAAAAGACGTAGACGAGAGAGAAAGAGTTGTGGGAGTGAGAAAGTGTAGAGAGAGAGAAAGGAGAAAGAAAGATAGGGTGTAAATGTAAAGAGAATGTGTGATGTAATGATGTTCGGGTGGGATTAAAAAAAGAGAGGAAAAAAAAAAAAGAGGAGGAGAAAGAAAAAAAAAAAGAGAAGAGGGAGTTAGGTAGAAGTTAAAAAAGAGTGCGAGGCAATGGGCTATAAAAAACGGTGTGGTCTTTAGTGAGAGTGTTAATTGTGTGCAGGGTTTGGTGTGAAGTCCTCCACACAATGAGGGTGTGAGAGAAACATGATCTTTTAATGAGAGAGAGAGAGTGTATATGTAAGGGCTCGGTGTGGAGCCATGTGACGTGTCCCACTTAGTATGAACATGAGGCCTCACATTGGGTCATGGCCGGAAATGAGCCATGAAGTATAGGGAGGCATCTCCTAGGAGAGAATATGAGACCGTGAGGCGGTATGTGGCATGTACGTGAGTTGTATAGAGGGAAAGATAGAAATTGTAGAGAAAAAGGTGTGAATGTGTATGTGTTCAAAATAATGAAAGAGTCTCTGTCCAGTCCAATTTTCTATGTGTGTATTCCACAAGTGGTATCAGAGAGCTTCCTGACCTTTTCTTACATGTCCAACATCTTCAACATTGGATAGGTTGGAAATTGACCTTTTTTATTTATTTTCAAGGCCTTTCTGATATTATAAATTTTGAATATCCCTGTCTCTAGGTTTGTTCAATATTGGTAATATCAAACAGCCCTAAAACCCACGATATGTTTGTGTCAGTGATATTGAATATCTGCAAATCTTTTCCTTTAGGCTGTCCAATATTGTTAATACTAGAAACCTCGTCCCTCAGATGTCAGACAGCCCAAAGGAAAGAATTTTGAGAGGTTAAGCTCTCTGATGTTGCTAACATCAGACACCTCATCCCTCGACAAGAGACCGGTTCGGTGTTGAAAATATCTAACAACCCAAAGGCAAGGATTTGGAGATGTTAGGTCATCCCATATTGCTAACACCACACACTTCGTTCCTCAGCAAGAGAGCTATTAGGTGTTGAAAATATTGGACATCCCAAATGCAAAGATCTGGAGATGTCTGTTATTACTGACGTCAAACATACCGTAGGTTTTAGGGTTGTCCGACATTATCAATATCAAACAGAACAAGAGATAGGGGTTGTTCGTTATTTCTGATAGCAGATGCGCATTTAAAACAAAACAAAAAAAAAGTGAATTTCCCACTTGTCAGATGTTGGAGATGTCAAATAGAGCGGTAAAACTAAGAAAAGAAAAAAAAAGGTGGGTAGGGGGACTTTACACACACTCATACAAAATATACCTAAATATGTGTGTGTATGTGTGTCCTAAGATTGAACAAAGACCGTTCAATTTTTAAACAATCAAATCTAAGAGTTTGGGAACTCAAATCTAATTTGTTTTCTTTAAGACTATTCAGGTTGTGAGAAATTCTAGAGTTTAAAAATATCCAAAGTAGCTTTTTGCTAGAGAGATTAAGTGTACAATATCTTCATGTGGAAGTATGCTATTCGAGGTCATATAAAATAAGCAAGATATTTAATTACCCCCATTTAAAATTGTTAAGGTCACCTTTTAAGTTTATTTCACTAAAGTAGCTCCTCAAAAAATATGTTAAAAAGTTACTAACTTGCCACTATTCATCAGGGACACTTTAGTAATTTTGCACACTTAAGTAGCCCAAACTTAATGAAAAGATTCCAAATGTGGAACAACTTTTTCATACTAAAATCTCTTGTTCAAGGTCCCAATAAATGATACAAGCATAATGCAAAAATTCCTTCTTTTCGTCGCATATTATTTTCCTCAATCCAAACAAAAATAATATCGCCATTACTCTTTAATTAATGGGAATGTATACAATCAGGTCATTTACCTTTGATACTAGGTGGTCACAATTACTTATAACCATCCGATGTAAAATTTTATAGCTAGGATGGGTCACAAAGTTCGATGTAAAGTTTTATAGTTTGGATGTGTCACAAAGTTTGAGAAAAAAAATTTTAAAGTTTGAGCTTGGTCAATTGAATAATTGCAACCACCCAATTTCACATCTAATGGTCAAGATTAATATCTCATATTGTATAAAAGATAAATGGTCTCATTCTATACTTTCTCTTAATTAATAGGGATAACTGATAGTACCACTTAACTCTTTTTTATTTTTTATTCTTAATTGGAAACCCTTTTCTTGCGGGAAAATTGTTCATATGGGCTGGACTGCATTTCGACAATATGTGGTCCCAAGCATAAAGCATCCATCCTAAAGATGGAATCAAATAAGTGGTGCATCTAAAAACAATTGAAATTAATAGTCCAAATGTTTTTTTAATACAATTATTATTTCAAATTTTCTAATTCTATTTATTTTTTCATATTCATAATCTCCATGTTAGAGACTACATGTCTTTAAAAATTAAATTAAAAAATCCATCTCAAAAATAGATTTTAAAGAGATGATTGATTTCTACATGAACTCATAGAAACCGTGTCCTTTCTTGAGTTACCACTTCTAAACAAGGAGGGGGAGTATCATAATTCTTCTAGAATTGAATAGTCCAAGCCAAATAACAACTTTGCCCCTAGTAGTTTAGGGTTACCAACACAAAACTCACATTTTTTTTATTGTAAGCCCTTGCGCTATTTTTCTAACCTTGAACAACTAGGTAAGTTCATGCAATTTGACTTGAGTTCGAGTCAAATTATCAAAATACTCCAACTTATTTAAAGTTCTCAATCATGAATAGGGGTAATTTGGTTAATTATTTTAATAATTTTGAAGAGGTAGGAACAAAACTTAGAAAGCAACCATTCTAATTTTAGATGAGATTATTTGACCGCCTTAATCATCTTATAAAACTATTTAACCATTATTTTCCTAGAAAAAACAGTAACCATTACTTTCCTTAAAAAAATTAATTGTAAATGAAGACTTATTTCTAGAACAAGGAAAGCACTGAATAAAGCGTGATGACAAAGCACAATATTGTAATGAACTTGCTTAAGAATGAATCACTACAATAGTTGTGAACAGTGTTTCAAAATTTGGATAAGTGGTGCATATCATTCATAAATAGAGACGTGTTGGAATCAACAATCCAGATTGGGTTTGGATCAATCCAAATTGGTGATCGAGAAAATTATTAAAAAAATAAATGAAATAAAATGAAAATGAAAATAAGAGTTTATGGGTGAGGATTTAGAAAAAACCTAAAAAAATATTAGAATTTAAAGGATTTTTGCGCTAAGACCTATACAGTACCAAAACTGACTCGGTCCCAACAAATTCTCATCCAAATCGATGATCCAGGTCAGAAATCACTTAGAACACAACATGCAAGGAATGCCTTCACAAATTACAAGCACAATGAAATTCCGTTTTCATTAGCAAATCACACTCGAGGAAAAGTTCATCATTTTCCAAAACCACTTTAAAAAAGTTACTTTACATAAAATCTTTGTCACAAAAAAAAAGTTACTTTACGGAAAAGCACTTGAAAACATGGAACTCGCCCACTTGCCAAGCAATATCGTATATTTTTTTTTAAGTCTCAAAGAAAAAGAAAAAAAAAAAAGTACATGATGATTTACGAAGTAATAAATAGTTCTAAGAAAATGGTGATATAAAGGTTGTAAATTTTGAAACTTATTCCTTCCATTCTCACAAAAAGCAAAAGTAAGCTAATTACATGTTTATGAGTAAAAATAATTATGAGTGGTCACAAAAAACTAAGGGATAACATTAACTAAGAAGAGTACAAGTTCATGAACCCTAAGACACTGTAAATATTTTAAACCATTTCATTGCAAATAATGACGTGTTTAAAGAAGACCTGTGAGTTTATAATTATGGGTGGGTCTCATGACTTTTGTAACAAAATTAAGAGCGCTTTATATAGGGATCTTAAAATTTTAGGTAAAATACTAAATGTTCTTTTTATAGGTAAAAATTACAAAGAAAGTCGATCAACCTACTTTTTTTTAGTTTTTTCAAAATTTCTCCTTCGCTCCAAATTAACAATAACAAAATTGACAAAAAAAAATTTTTGTGCCTAGACATTTGCTTAGGCTTTATTTGGGAGGAAAAGTTCATATAGAGTCGAGGCTCTAAACAATCAAATTAGAGCCCATCTCGAAAATTTCACTGGAAGAGCTTGTTTGGATGCCCAAATATCCTCAAAATGATCAGCTTGACATCAAGATGCATGGACAAGAAAAAAAAATGGATTTCAAGTTTTGAAACAAAGCACCTTGTAATGCATTTTTGGACCATCAATTTTCAAGATTTTAAGTTTTCATAGATCTACTCAATCTAAACTACTTTTTAAGCTTTAAATTTTATAATTAAAGATGAAAACATATTTTACAGCTGTCACAAAAATTTTCAACATTGAAACCACATTTTTCGACACAATTTGAAGGTGCGCTTTATTTTAATTGTTTAGAGCCTCGGCACTATACAAACCGCAAAGTTAATTGGGAAGGGCATTTGTGCAAAACAAACCCAACGATATGAGAATTATAAAGGAGTTAACATGGATGTGTTTGGCGATATTTTTTGTAGTGGGATTATGCAATGGAAATGGAAACATCTCTAGTCTTTTCATTTCTATGGTCCTTTTACAACGTGCATTACCTTTATAGATCTCCTCCAACCGTCAGATTTCAAGCATGCACAGTTCAGATGTCTCAGTTCTCTACCTTGTGTCTCTTGGATCTTTCTGACAAACTTTAAGCAGAAAATTGACACCCCAAAACTGTCCCTTGTTGACAGATGACTGTTGGGAGAGTGCTGAATAGACAATACGAAACCCTTAGCATAAAATATTTTTGCTCTTTAATCTTTTTAAATTTTTACTTGTTATTTAATGAATCGTTCTTTAACATTTTTAAAAAATTTCTAGAGAATAAAATTGTGGGAAATGTCTTAAGTTGTTAATTTGCTAAGAAATCCACATGCCTTGATGATAAGTGTTCAAACCATAGTTACCTTAGTCCAAATCATAGTTAGGGTGGTATTCCCGCTCCAGAATTTCGTTTAGGGTTTTCGAGCAGGGATCTCGCTCGGAA